TCGAACAGCCTGAGCCCAGAGCCCGTGCTGGCAGCCAGCGCTCCACGTCTCCCACAACGCCGTGACGTGGTCCCCAAGTGAATATGCCCCAAAGCCTGCTGGCTCTTGGAAATAGCAGCTTAAAACCCAGCCCGTGAAACGAGTCCTTCTATCTGGTTTTTAGACAAAGTGAGTTAGGCCATCTCTTCTGTAGACGATCAACGGGGAGGGGAGGGTTGCTAGAGAGAGAGGCCTGCAAAGGTGCTTTGTTGTTGTTGAATTGCTAAGTCTGGCTCTTTTGCGGCCCCATGGACTGCAGCCCGCCAGGCTCCTCTGTCCATGGAATTCTCTAGGCAAGAACCCTGGAGTGGGTTGCTGTTTCCGTCTCCAGGGGATCTTCCCGATCCAGGGATCGAACCCAGGTCTTCCTGCATTGCAGGCGGATTCTTTACCACTGAGCACCAGGTATGGGTTGCAGAGATGCTGCTGGTTGACAAATCCGCTGGTGGGGACTGGCTGTCCCAGAGCACTTGAAGCCCGGGAGACCCTGTGGAGAGTGGGGAGAGACCCTGATCATCCTGCTGGAGGCCTCACTGTCCCCAACCCGTCAGACGCTCCAGGGGGTGGGGAGGGTGGGCCTGCACTCGGGGCTTCTGCTGGTCCTGTGTGAGGTGGGGAGCGGGGTACATGCCTGCCCCTCAGCTTCTTTCTTGTGGACACCCACGTTTAACCTCACTGAAAGTACTTGATCACCGATTCCAAGTAAGCATGGTGTGTCGGCCACTTTGGGAGAGCCGGGACACTGTCGGCTCTGTGAGTGTCTGGGGACGAGGGTTCCTGGAGAGCCCGGTTCCTCCAAACAGGTCCCTTGTTGTTTGCTGTCATAACAGGGCATTGCCGTTTCATTTAATTTATAAAATCAACATTTTGCTTCAGAGTCAGTACTGGGGGTCAGGATCAGTGATCTAAGGGGCCACTGGTCTGTGGTTCCAGGGAGGTCGGTGCAGTTGATCTGATTACTGACCTGGGGCTAACCTGGTAGCCCAGTGGTAAAGAAGCCACCTGCAGTGCAGGAGAGAAGGCTTTGATCCCTGGGTCCGGAAGATCCCCTGGAGAAGGAAATGGCAACCTACTCCAGTATTCTTGCCTGGAGAGTCCCATGGACCGAGGGGCCTGGCGTGCTGCAGTCCATGGGGACGCAAAGAGCCAGATAAGACTGAGCGACTGAACGATTGCTAACCTGGTGTTTTGAGTTTGTCCTTATTTAAGAGAGATAGCCTCAAGGAGGGCTTCCCCCCCTTGCTTCTTAAGCAGTAGGAGCTACAGGGACTGCAGGGCAGCAATGGAGGACACCTTGTCTCCCTTTGGATGTTACTGGGGTGGGGAGTGTCCTACCCTTTTATGGGGGCCCACTCAAGCAAGTTGTGGAACCAGCAAGTCTTAAATTGCGATGAGGGCTTCATGGCCTGTTTCCTGTTTCCGGTGGGTCTGTTGGAGAAGGGTTGTTTTGAAATTTAGTAACAAAGAGAGAATTTCAGCCTCCTGTGCTGCCAGCTTGACTATAACCGACCTAGCTTCCCCTTACTCCCACCATGATTCTCACCGTTGCTATTTTGCTGGTGGCGGTTTGACAGTTCCCGTGAAAGGGCAGGGCAAGAAGTCTCGGTTGAAGATCAGCAAGCATCCCATGCTGTCTCTTCCTTGGGGTTGGAATCAGCGTCCTGCATCGGAATGCTGCTCAACACGTCCCCCGGGCACTAGGCTCCTGGGAGGCGAGGATGCGTAAGACGTGGTCCAGCCCTGAAACGCAGCAGTGGGTCACAGCCGGCAGAAATACCGGGACAGGCAGTGGGAAGCGGTCGGGAAAAGAGGAAGTGATGGCGTCCTCAGAGGTGCATGGCTGGCCACGTGGGGAAGCACGTAGGGAAAGGAAGACGAACGTCTAGGCTGAGAGGAGTGTGAGTGGAAGCCCTGGGGAACGACAGCACAGGGCTTCCTGGGGGGTGGGATGGACAGGCGCTGGGATGAGACCAGAGAGCAGGGTCGGGGTGCTGTGTCGAGACTGGGTGGAAGGGGTGTTGAGAGGTGTCTCTGGCAGAATAGACGGCCGGTTGTGGAAGCAGTCGTGTGCCAGGGAGTGCTTTGAAGCCGGGTTGTGATGTGAGAAGTTCTGTCCTGGAGAGAAACTCTGCTAACCCTTTAGAAAAACCAGGTTGCAGAGGAGGCATGTCTGGCAGAACGAACTTGACATTGGTGCTGTACTGAACAGAATTATTCTTTCTCCTTTTTTTCAAAGAGATTTTTTTCAGTCCAGGATGTGGGGGCTGCCATCTTCGGTGGTATTAAACGATCATTCAAAGGTGGGAGCTTGACTTTCAGCAAATAGAATTCAGTTCACCAAGGTTTAAACTTCCCAGATTGTGTTTACTGCTTGGTACTTAAGCTCATCAGGGAGAGCAATAGACTCATCCAGGCAATTAGACTCATTTCTGTTCCCTCGAGAATACTCAGGCTGGATGCTGGGAGTCCCGGGGAGCTACTTACTCATTAGGATCACTGGTTTGTCAGCTGGGAGTGAAGGCGGGCTTGGAGGGCGAGCTGATGAGCCTGTGGATGAAGATTTCTGGAAGTTGCTGTGGATGTAGGATCTGCTCACAAAGACGAAGCTGCCTTGAGCAGGGGTGTCTCACCTGGGTAGCCTCTGCCCTTGCCCTGTGGCCCCCCACCCACCCACCCACGGTGTTACCAGTCTTCTGCAGAGATTTCACCTCCTCCCACCGATGAGGTCGGCCAGGAAAGACCCACAGGGATGCAGGGCATGAAGGCAGCTAGCGGGCCCCAGAGATGCTAGTGGTTGATTAATTACGGTGGAGGCACTCTCTGCCTTTCCCTCTGGGGAGAACAGGTCCCCTTTTTACTACGCGTGACTTCATAGGTTTCAAGGCCTGAACTCAGGGACCGAGGGACCTGGCCAAGAGGGCTGTGGAAAATGTGGGGAGGCCCCTGCAGGTTGGACGGGATGCATACCTTAAGGTTAATAATTTCATCACCTAAAACTGATTTTTATATGGTAGGGTTTTATGAACTGCTGGCAGCCTCTCTCGTTCTGTTTTGTTCCTTAACCGTGCTCTCTCGCTGGTGCTGGGATTGTGCGGGAGGAGCTGGGATGCTGTGAGCTGGGGTGGGCTCTGGGGGGCCAGGTGGGGAGCTGCGGCAGAGATGGGGGGCTCTGAGTGCTGAGTGGATTCCCCTTTCCCGTGACCAGCCAGGGCAGGTCACTGAGGAAGGAGAGCCCCACTCGGGGCCAGGACCCAGGGGTGCTTGCCGATGTGACCCTATGGGCAGGGCAGAGGTGTCGTCCTTCTCTTCTTAAAGACGGGAAACTGAGGCTTAGGGGAGTTACCTTTTTCTGAGATCACACAGGCGGTGTCAGGCCGCCGGAAAGCATTAGGCCACAGCCGCAGACTGAAAGATGTTCTCCAGTCCCGTGGGCCCTTGGGACAGCTGGGTGCCTGGAGAGAGTTCCCAGCCCAGCAACTGCGAACCTTGATGTGGACTCTTTAATAGTTCGCTGGAATTGGAGCTCAACACATTTGAGTGCCTCTACGTGTAGGACACCGGGTTGAGACGTGATGAAGCCCCGTAGTTCTTGACTTGGGAGAGTTCCCATCATGAAAAGGTGCAGGGCAGGGTCGCCCCCGAGCCTTGCTCCATGGGCAGGGGCAGGCTGGGTGTCATTTGGGGTGGAGGACCATGGCCTGGGAGGTGGTGGAGTTGGAGGGCTCCTTGTGGTGGGGGGTGCGGCAGAATTGGAGCTTTCCTTCTGTCCGTGGGATGCAGTCCTAAGGTTTTGAACAGAGGAGTGACCGGTCACCTGATAAGGCTTGGGAGACATCCTCAAAGAGGGAGTGAGTGGCCACGGCTGTCCCTGGGGCGGCTGCTGGGGGCCCCGTCACTGCTGATTGCTGGCCCCAGGCAGAGAGCCCAGCCCGGTCAGCTGGTTCGGAACAGCCCAGCAGCAGGCAGATCCCTGCATCGCTCCGCCAGACTGATGTCCGTGAACGGGGGGCTTGCTTTCTTCACAGCCGCAGACTTGTTTCAAAGCTGACTCACACACTCTGGCTTAATAATTTGACTTCTTGGTTAACCAGCTCCAGAGGAGCCACCGTGAGAGGATGAAGGACCCAGGGCAGCAGGAGACCTGGTCCCAGTTTAGGCCCCGATGGAGACGGTTCGGGTTCAGATCTCTGTGTTCTGGTTTGCCTCTTTGCGGGACTTGTCTGCTGAAATGCCGGATCACGTTTATAGTGTTGGCATGCTGGTGTAGAGGTTAACCCTGGTTTACTGAAACCAGGGCAGAGAGCCTTTCCTGATGGGTCCTGAGACTTCTAGGAGGACCTGCCCCAGCCCAGGTGTCGCAGCCCGGGTGGGGCCTGAGCCCAGGCTCCTGATCCTTCCCCCGCATCCAGTTTCCAAGTCTTTGACTTCCCTGGTGGCTCAGATGGTAAGGAATCTGCCTGCAATGCCGGAGACCCGGCTTTGATCCCTGGGTCTGGAAGATTCCCCTGGAGAAGGGCATGGCAACCCACTCCAGTACTCTTGCCTGAATGGAGAATCCCATGAACAGAGGAGCCTGGCGGACTACAGTCCATGGAGTCGCAGAGTCAGACGCAACTGAGTGACTCACACTTCCTGCGTGATCTGTTGTTCAGTCGCTAAGTTGTGCCTTAGTGGTTTTAGTTGTCTTAGTTGTGTCTCAGCTGCTGGCGACCCCCGTGGACTGCAGCACACCAGGCTCCTCTGTCCTCCACTGACTCCCGTTTGCTCAGGCTCCTGTCCATTGAGTCTGTGATGTCATCCAACCATCTCGTCCTCTGGCGCCTCTTTCTCCTCTGGTATCTGCTGCCGTCCCAAAGGTGCCCTCCCCACCTGTGCTCGAAGCAAAGTGCTCTTATGAGGCTCTTAAAGCCCCTGGTGTGACCTCCCCAGCTTTTTGTCTTGAGCTCTGTCCTGGGGGTGCGATGGTGGGCACCTCCCCATTCATCAGTGTCACTGGCATTTTAAAGAAGCAAACACGGACGTCGCATGCAGTCCTGTAAGTGGTTTTCATGCTTTATTTCCATGCTGCTTACAACAAGCCCGCCAGGCTGGTGGTGGTAGCCACGTTCTGCTGGCACCCAGTCGTGCCGTTACCCTGAAGGTCCAGGGGGCACTGGACTCTCCCCCACTCCCTTTCTCTGTTTTGTCTGATTTAACCTCTGCTTCCACTTCTGAGGTCACTGTTATCTCCATCTTACAGGTGAGGAAGCTGAGGCTTAGGGAGTTTAAAGAACTTGCCCGAGGCCACTCCAGGGTAAATGACATTGAGCCCGAGCTGCTGTACTCCTTAATCTTTGCTCTTCTGTATTTGTTTATGAAATAAAACTTGCTAGCTTGGGGCTGGCTTAGAGCTGATAGCTTCTCTTGGATTTGTTTTCCAAGGCTTTTCCCTTTCCCGAAGGAGGAGGGAGGAGCTGTTTGTCAAGCACCCACTCCCGTGTTCAGTTTAGTTCGGTCACTCAGTCGTGGCTGACTCTTGGCGACCCCATGGACTGCAGCATGCCAGGCCTCCCTGTCCGTCACCCAGTCCCGGAGCGCGCCCCACTCCATTCTAGGCTTGGTTATCTGTTTTCCTTGTACCAGAGTGTAAGCTCCCCGAGAGCTTCTTGCTGCATTTTCCCTGTTTGTTCACCCATGACCGCAGGCACCCACCCTAGTGCCTGGCACAGCCTGGGTGCTCAGGCAGCACTGAATGAATGAATGAGGTCGTTTTAAACCCCTGTCCGAGGCGGAGGCATTCAGACAGAGCAGTTTGGTGCCTTGCCTACAGGCACAAATAACTCTTGCTGGTCACACCTCAGATCTCTTGTTTTCTCAGCAGACCTTTTTAACACATGTAAAATTTCGGGAGTAATCGGATCTCTGTCATGGGATTGGAGGGCATGATATAAAACACTATAAATACTTAGAGTGCCTGGCACCTCTCCAGCCATCGAACAGTGGCGTTGGGAGGGCTTGTCTCCGCTCCCTTGTCTGTGTTTGTCTTCCTTCGGGCAGGGTTGCTGCACTGATTAGCCAGGCTCAAGTGTGCCTGCCCCCGAGCTTCTAAAAAGTGCTTTTCATCCATCTGAAAAAGTACTTTTTATTCATCTAAGGTTGCTGTCTTGGCTGTACTATCTAGCAAGTGATGAAAGTGGTAACACTGATGGAATTCGTTTAAAGCTACCCTGGGCCAGTGGTCACCACTCGCAAGGTGTTGATTAAGGTGATTTTCATCTTTTTTGTTTCCAGTCAGAATATTGGTCTGGGAGGGGCCTCCAGGATCCTTGTCCAGATTGTCTCCTTCCACCCCCGCTAGTTTACAGGTGAGGAACATCAGGCCTGGAGAGTTGCAGGGGCAGGGCTGGGGGTACCATGTAAGATGGTCCGTTCTCTTCAATGGCAGCAACACTGCCAAGTCCAGATGCTTGGAGTTTTATATTCGTGGCAGGGGGCTGTCTGAACATTTGTGTGGTGGAACCACCATTATTCTCATCAGGGATGTTAGTGAGCAGATTATATCCATAAACCTAAGTATTAAGAAGGGTTTTTCCCATTAGGTTTTTTATTTTTTGCACACTTACCTCCTAGTCACCATAGAAAAGTTCTAAATAAACAAACAAACAAAATTGAGTAAAGCATCTAAGAAAGTAACATTACTTTCATGACTCACAAGTCTCCTTCTTGTATATCTCCTTCCTCTTAATACATACACTTACTACAAAAATGGGATTTATTACATTTGTGAACAATAAAAAGCCCATTTTTGTATATGCCTTTAAATTATACCGTATCTACTAAAAACTTAATGTGATAAGTATTTTCTGATGCATCCAAATGTTCTTTGCCAGGAAAATCACTTTATTTTGCTGTGGCACAATTTGAGGAGGGGAGAGTCGTAGGTTGATATTTTGATTATTTTGCACTTCTGGCACTCACTGGTCCTAGGCTAGTTTTGGGGTTTTCTTTATTCAGTTTTTTTTTTTTTTTTCCCTTGCATTGTCTGGCATGTGGGATGTTAGTTCCCTGAACAGGGATTGAATTTGTGTCCCCTGCAGTGAAAGTGCAGAGTCTTAACCATTGTTCCTAGGTTAAATAAAGCCAATTTAGGGTTAAAATTTTGAATAGGTAAATTATGAATAGGTAAGTGGAAATTGATTTATTCTAAAGAGGAAAATGCTGAACTGACAAAATGCATTTATTTATTTTTTTGATTAGCCTGTGATGTGTCATCCTATTGCTCCAAACAAACACCAGTGAAAAGCAAATCGAGCAATTCAAAAAGTCCCTCCAAAGGGTCAAGTTCTCTTGATAAGGAGGTGTTTTCCATCTTATTAGATCACAGGGGTGAGTGTCAGGGCTGATGGTATGTTATGTTCCTTTGGTTGTATTTTTAATCAGATGTTTTGCTTTAATCAATGTCATTTGACATTTTAGTGCAGCTATTCCCAGTCTTTTCTAATATAAGGACCTCTCTTAATGTATTAATAAAAAAATCTTTCCAGGATAAGCATAATTTTAGTTGTATTTTTAGGCTCTGTTGAGAAGCTCTGACAAATTTTTTTGAAAAATAATACTTTTAGTGAAACTTCTCTTTACTAAATTACAACAACATCTTCATACATCTTGCCTAACGATAGCACATACCTGTGTACAGTTTGCAAGGTCCGTAGATGCTTGATGGGCCTATGAGTACGTTTACCCTCTGAAATAGCTCCTAGGAGGCCCTTGCCCTCGAGGAAGATGGAGCCTGAATGTGAATCACTCTGAGGCCTGATGTTAGGTAGATAATAATCAGATCCGTTCTGAAGGGCAAGTGGAATTCTCTAACTCCAAGAACTACCTGGGGGCCACTAAATGACAAGTCAGGAAGATGCATTTTGTTCCCACCTGCTCACTGCTGAAGTTTCCAGAGGAGCCCAGCCCACCTGGCTCTCCCCATCATTTCAGAGGAAGGAATGATGTTGGAGAAGGGAATTGAATCGGGAAAACTTGAACAAACCTGATGAACTATCTCCCTTGGCCCTTTTCACACATTTTGCATGATCTGCTAGAGAGAGGGCTGGATTTGTCAGCTCAGAGACTAACGTCCTAAACCCAAACAAACGTGTCGCTCGCTCAGTCGTGTCCAACTCTTTGCAACCCCGAGGCTCCTCCGTCCATGGGATTTTCCAGGCAAGAGTACTGGAGTGGGTTGCCATTTCCATCTCCAGGGGATCTTCCCGACTCAGGGATCGGACCCAGGTCTCCTGCATTGCAAGCAGACACTTTACCCTCTAAGCCACCAGGGACCCAAGCCCAACCCTAATTACAGTTAATGGAAAGATGTTACACCTTCAGTTCAGTTCAATCGCTGAGTCGTATCCAACTCTTTGCGACCCCATGGACTGCAGCATGCCAGGCTTCCCTGTCCATCACCAACTCCCAGAGTTTTCTCAAACTCATGTCCATTGAGTCAATGATGCCATCCAACCATCTGATCCTCTGTCCCCTTCTCCTGCCGTCAGTCTTCCCCAGCATCAGGATCTTTTCCAATGAGTCAGTTACACCTTGGGCCTCAGTTTTTCCATCTATAAAATGCGCAGAATCTTTCTTTCATCGTGTTCTTAGGAGGTGACACCCTGATGCCCCCAGCAGCGTTTTTCTCCCTTTTTAATCAGTGAAAACAAACAAGAAAATCCTTTGTGAGGCTAGATGCTATTGTCCCAGGAAAAGTAGAGACTTTTAACATTAGAGACTTCTAAGCATCTCAGAAACTTATTTAGGGCAGGGCAACAGAGCAAGGCCTGAGACCCTCCTCACAAATCTTATCTCCATTCTCCTAGAGTTCTGTTTTTCTCTTAGTGATTATTACAGTGCTGCCTCATATGGCACTAGTCTTGAGCTCTGAGAACAAAGTTCTTGCACTGTTTAGCCCCACCAGGTTTCTGGTGGAAGAAGCTGCCTCATTTGTGGTGTCTCTGTATCATCAGATGAAGAAGAATCATCCCAGCGTTCCCATTTTTAGGAGTCAGGGCTGGGAGCATGTATTATGCTTAAATTTTATGTGATGTCTGTGTATTTTCAAAAAATGTTGACCATCATCTTTCTTTGAAGCTTCTATAGCCTTTCCAAGTTGCTCTGGAAAATCTTCAAGAGCTTCTTAGCAAAACAAGGTACACAGTAAGCCCATATCAGCTAGGCCCAATGTGGAAGAATTACTTTCATGAAGTGGGCCTGGTGAGCTGACCTCAGTTACAGAGCTGTGGCCATCTGTACAGGGGGGCCAGCACTCACCATGATGGGGCAGTGGTCACTTTTGGATGGATGATGACCTCACAAAGGTTTCCAAGGGCAAAACCCCTCCAGGCATCATCTCCAGAATTCCAAAGCAATTTCACAATTCTGATTCTAAGAAAGGTTTGATTTCTGACAGGGAACTCCATCTGTGCCCTCTCATGCCTTTGTGTTGTAGATGTTAGTAATTGTCTTTTTGAAAAAAATAGAAGTAAGCTATAAATTCTATCTGAAGAATTTGTTGTTGTTTAGTTGTTCAGTCGTGTCCGACTCTTTGTGACCCCATGGACTGTAGCCCGCCAGGCTCCTCTGTCCACGGGATTCTCCAGTCAGGAATACTGGAGTGGGTTGCCATTTTCTTCTCCAATCTGAAGAATTTAGCCTAGTTTATTTTGAAGAATTTTTAATCAGTTGGAGTTTTTTACCCACTTCAGTAGCTGGTTTCAGGTCCCAATGCTTAGGCAATATGGAGTAATAGTAAATAACCAAGCTTTTTGTAAGCGATGTTATTTGAAGAGGGGGGTTAATAGACAATAAACTTAGGGATACATAAGTAAGGTTTTCTCTGAACTTACCTTCCTTTCTGAACAGGAGAAAAGATGAGTTTTAGGTGTAAGGGTGCACAAAGTAATGGGTAGCACCCTCTAAAGACATTTAAATCTATTAAAGTATATATATCTTTATTCAAAAATAGATTGAGTTCTGATGCTTTCCAGACTGCTTTATGATCCGGTGGCTGGTAAGAGCACGCTGTTAATCAGACCTGTTGGTTTCTCACAGAATTTCACTAAAAGGTGCGCATCACTTTACATAGTCCTTAGGAGAGGGGACAGTGAAACAGAAACTTAAACTTACTGTAACAAATACTGAGGGGACAGGAGAGGATCAAGCTGCCCTGGTACCTGGGCCTCCTTTTCCTTTCTTTCCCAGCTCTGCCTTTTTGAGATGTTCTTTGGGAAGATGAGCAAGCTGGGGTCATGGCCCTGGGTGTCCCTGTGTCTCTGGCTCAGCACTGGGAGTCCTTCCCTAAAGTCCAGCGCTGGTTCTTCCTGTCCCCAGCTTTCCAGAGAAGGCCTGGGAGGCGGCAGGGCCCGTGGGGAAGCTGAGGTGGTGCCTCCTGGGCCCCCGGGGAAGGAGCTGCCTTCTGGAATGGGGCACGGGGAGGGGGAGGCCTGAGCAGAGGGTGGGGTGGATAGGCAGATGGCAGTCACTGCCATTGATTGGGTACAGACCAGGCTGTGGTTTGGAAGTTGTCTTGGAAGGTGGCATTTGTGCAATCCGTTTATGGTTTGCTAACCTGAGTGTGACACACATGTGCCTTGCTGGAGTTTGAACAGAACCATCTAAATACTCAGATGGTGGTTTTCCTGATAAATTGAAGCTGGCCTAAACTGTAGGACTCATTTGCCCCAGCTGCTCTAGGTAGTCATTTTTGTTCGGTCTACTAAAAAAAAAAAATTAAAAAACCATTCCTGGGAAAAGTGCAGGGTCAGAGAAGGGAGAGCAGCTCTGCCTTCTGTGATGCTGGAAGGAAGGATTGGGGAGACGCCTCCTCTTCCTCTCGCGGCCCTGGAACCACAGCTTCAGTTTCTAGAGGATCAGCCTGCTGCTACGCCCAGCGCTGGTATTTTAAAGTATTTCTCAGTCGTTTTTTTAGGATTATCGGTCATCGCTTGCAGGGTTCCTTTTCATTTTCAAGGGCATCCAGTCTAACCGTTTAGCTCCCTTTCAAAAGCCTCCCTCCCTCCCTTCCTCGGGCCCAGTCAGCAAGATTAATAATGTTAACTGATTTACTGTCGCTGCAAAAAAAAGCATTAGTTAATTAGACTTTTACACCTCAGTCAGATGGCATTAGACCCTCTTTGTGCACTTTAACTCAAGGATGTTAAAGACCTAAATCGTTGAGAAAAAAAGAAAAGAAAGAAAAAGGACAGGCACTTTTCCAGTTTAAGCTGCATGTTGGTCCATGTTAATTAGGCATTTGTCCCTCAAGTCTGGAGGTGATAGAAAATGCCAGTTACTGTGGTATTTAACTGACATCAAACTCCTGTCCAAATAATTCAGTTGGGCCCAGCCTTCTCTTTTAATTGGTGGGAAGGAAAGCTAGGCACACACCCAGAATAAGGAGGAAACTGTTGCATTTAACATTTAAAACTTTCGTTCTGAAGGATCTGAAGTACACTCGTGTGTGTTTTTTAATTAACTATCCAGTTGAGCTTTTTTAAAAGAGTAACAACAGAATCTCCTCTCACACTTGAGCTACCCCAAATGATTAGCCCTTGTAAGTCTTTAAGAAATGAAAGTTTAATACTTGTTGTTATCCAAGGTCAAAAAGTGGCATGTTACTATTTAGAGTCCTTACAGATTCATATATGTTTGGCACTGTCTAACAGGGCTTAGGTGCCAAGCAGTAGACACATTTTAGAAACCAATATTTAGTGGCATATTTTTTTTAAAATGCCATGATGGTTTTATAGAAGTAATTAGATAAAACATGCTTTAAAAAAAAAATTTAAGCCATTTCTTACCAGTTGCCAGAGAAGGTAATTCTCAGTGACAAGAGTGTTGTTTACCTCACTCATGACGTGTGTAAAAACAATTCCAAAAATACTGAAAGGGTTTTCTTCTAAGGGTAGCCTTGTCTGCCTCCCAGCCTTCCTGGCTTTGTCTGTGGTTTCTGGCCAGAGGTTCACACGTTTGCAAGCGCTTCATTTTCAGCACTGAACTACTTTTTGGTGCATTGAATGAATGCAATATGTTAAAACTCCTGTACGGCCCAGAATTGCTTGGCTGTCCCTTGGCCTGCCTGCTTGGTACTGGCTGAAAAGGTACCATTGTTTGTTCTGCAAACACTGGGTGATGTTTGTTTCCAAGGTGACTGGTTCTATTGCTGCCATTTAAGCAAGGGGGGGATGGGGAGAGAGAAAGTTGGCTTTAAACACCTGAGAGCATCCTGTTGAGGATACAGTCTGTGTGTGTGTATGTGTGTAAGTTGAATTATTATTTTAACTGAGGTAATGGGAGGAAGAGGGATAGTGTGGAAACGGGAGGAAGAAATAGATATCAGTAGGTTTAAAATATCACTAAGTTCTGATACACAATATACTTAGAAGGTAATGGTATGAGAAATGTTAGAATTAAATATCTGATTATCCTGCAGTTAACTGTCTTCACATTTGATAAACTAAAAAACTCAAGGGAAGAAAAATATTTTAGATGAAATCCACTGAAAGGTTATATTTATTTTTGCATGAAATATAGTTGTTTATCTGTGACTTGTAAGCAGCTATTCAAATGAATAAATCTTTGAGAATAGTATCATTAAAATTGGTTATGCATCAGGTCGCCGGACCTTCCAAAAAAAGTCAGAACAAGAGATACCAAGAGATTGGTTTAAGTCATAAAATCTATAAAGAAAAATTTGGAAAAATATGAAACAGTTGAAGTGTACTTGGGTTGAAAATATTCCAGAGAGATAACAAAAAAGATGAAAAGCATCTTTTGGTGATGAATAACTGACATATTCATCAGTGACAGATTTTAAGTTCAAATTAGAAAGAGAAAAATGTTTCCCTTCCTGGAATTGCACCCCCTCTTTTTTTTAATTTTTTATTGTGCATGGATGCTGTTAACAGAACTTTGCCTTTTCCCTCCTATCAGGTTTAGTACAGTTCATGCCCAGGTTTCAGTAAACATTAACTACTTTTATCAGGGCTTGCAGTGTGCTGAATGGCTAGCAAAGAGAGTGTACTGCAAGAGACAGATGAAAATGTAGAGTCCAAGGTCACATGGATGTTGAATTTTTAAAAATTATGGAGAATTTACGGGGAAAGACATCAAGTTTCACGCTTTCAATATCCTCTCTTCAGTTATGTGGGCCTAAGACAGGGCCGCTTGGTCTGCCCTTTCTATGTCCTGGGGTTAAAACCATTTCTTCAGATGCTCCTTCTGAATGGCAAGAAAAGTGATTTTAAAATTAGTTTTTCTTTTCCTTCATTTAAAAAAAAAAATTAAAAAAAAAAAATCTGAAGACCCATCTTCTAGGATGAAAAGTTCTCAAGGTCCCAGCAAAGTACTATAACATATATTGTGACAATTCTGACGATATCTGATTTTACAGGGATTTCCTTTTTTTTTTTTCCTTTCTGAAAGATTAATTGGGATGGCCCTCTGAGCACTATAATTTCATTTCCGGAGTTAGCACAGTCAAGCCTGCTAGATGAAATATGGCCAGATAGAGAGTCAATGTGCTGGCCTCGGAAATCGTGTAATATTTAAAACTTTCGCCCATGTCTCTTTTCCGAAAATAGAAATGTGATTTGTGCTTCTTTTTTAGTGAAGACTATCTGCACATTTTAAAAACTGCAGGGACAGTAGGAACTGCCCTCTTCCCGTCCTTCACCGCAGGCTGCCCCTGCGCACCGGTGGCCGACACGGAGGGTGAGGCTGCGAGCTGCGCCCCGAGGGTCGTGTCCCCTCCCCGGTGGCCCCGCATCGAGGCCGTCGGGATGGATTTCGGTCCTGGGGCTCCCGGCGGCCGGGCCTGGGAGGACGCGGCGGAAGGCAGCCAAACAGCCGGCCCTCCTGGGGCCGCGGAGCCTTCGAGCACACGGGGGACCGTCTTTGAGAGAAGCGCGTTTGCACTGGAGAGCGCGCGGCGGCCGTCGTCCCGGGACTCGCCCGTGCCCATCCCGCCGCAGCGGCCGGCGGGAAGCGGGGCGGACGACAGCCTGGGCGGCGGGGTCGCGGGGCGCCGCTGGTCCAGCCCGGGCCTCGGCGCTGCCCGCCCACTTCGGCGCCCCGCGCGGGGCGTCCCGGTGAGCGGGCGGCGGGGCCGTCAGTCAGGGCGGCGGGCGCCAATTGGCCGAGCGGGCGGCGGGGGGCGGGGCTCGGCCGCCCTCCCGTGGGCCGCGCCGGCGTCGCCTCCACGAAGACCTTGAGGCGCTTTCTCCTCAGCCCGCGGTGGCCGGGGCGGCAATCCAGTGGACAGCCGGAGGCCTTCAAAAAGCCCGTCTAGTAATTGAGTTGGTTGTTTAGAAAGGGGTTCCTCACAGGGAGAGTTTAGAAAATTGTGCGCCCTGAGAGCAGTCTTCCCACTTTTTTTTTTCCTGGTGTGTGTTTGAGGCCATTTTTAGCCTGTGACCAGGTGAAGTTCCAGAAGTTTTGCATAGGCGTGAGCGCGCCCACTCGCACTTTGAATTACTGCCCAGAATGAGTACGCCTTAAAGGGCTTGGGCTTACCTGATGGCTGTTCTGGTGAGAACAGCGCGGGGCTGATAAAAGATGTCGCCGAGCCTTTTGGAGGCTGAGGACCAGGAGCCTGAGGACAGGGAAGGAACGGGACGAGGAAGGCAGCGTCTCTGCTGACCGACGGGAAGCCGGCGGCGTCGGGTCCTCTACCCGGAGTGTTGGGCAGCTGTTTGTCTCGTTTCCGATGTGACCTGCCTTCAGCACAGAACCGAACAAGCCCCCGTGGCCTCAGGTTTTAAATCCCCTCTCACAGGGAGGCAGACCACCCCCCCCCCCCCGCAGGCACCTGTTCCCCAGGCCCCCTCCGGGGTCCACGTGGCCCTCGGAGTGACCAGCCCATTGAGCCGGGCGCCGGGCCCTTGTTCTGTGCTTCAGGCCCCACCGTCCAGAGGGGACAGCAGGGCCTGTGGGAGCGCTGGGGCTCGCTCCCCGCGCGGGGCTCAAGGCCGTCCTGCCCGCAGGCGTCCTGCCAGTGTGCCCTGTGTCCCCGCGGGCCCTGCCCCCAGCGGGCACGGTGGGCGTTCACACCTGTGCGAGCATGAGGCGGGTTCACCCACCGAGGGCCCTGCTGCCTCCTGCACCCAGGAGCCCCGGCCCCCCTTCCGTGAGCAGCTTGGTACCCAGAGCACTTCCGGTGAGCCCCCCTCAGATCTGTGACTGACTGGTCTGGTGCTTGGTGTGCTTTCTTGGGTGGTCACACCTCGCTGGGCTGCAGCATCCAGTGACTCTTAAGAGCAGGGGATTCAGATTCAGTAGATCTGTTTGTGAGGCTGGGGCTTGTCCACTTGAAAAAACTTCTGGGGGTGATTAGTGAACACCCCTAATAATCAGCTTTCAAAGAATGTGTTTATAAACAGGCTACTGCTGGTACATTTATGGCTGAGAGACCAATGAATACATTTCAGCCGCTGGGTCTTTTTTTTTTTCCAGAGTTAGGACATGATACATAGACCTTGTAATTCTCCTGTCTGATGCTTGCTTGTTGCAACCCTGAGTTTCCTGTTAAGCGAGGTATTGTGGTACCTGGGCTAGACCCCTGATGGGCTGTCTGCACTGGCAGGTGTAAATGCCACTAATTAATTTTTTAAGAAGTTGGCTGTCTGACAGAATTATCAGGGATGCTGAGTACCTGGTACTGGATGTTTCTTTTGTTAAGGCCGTAGAGAGGTAACATCACGTACAGGTCATAAAGTTGCGGACGTTTAATCCTTTCGTCTGAGGTTGTGGATTTAGGGGTGCTGAATGTTTTCTTAAAAAAAAAAAAAAAAGGGTAGGGGAGGCTGCCCGGTTTCCACTAGGCCTTCCCCACCATCCCCCACAGCTCTTGCGGCATTATCTTCTGGTGAGGTGTTTACTCAATTATCATCAGGCCCAGCTCTTGTTAGAAGAGGATAAATGGTACTTGGGCCTCTTTATCTGGACCCTCTTGCTCACCATTTTGCCACAGCTGAAGAGACAGCCTGTGCCTCTGACTGAGTCCAGTCTTTTTTTCACTCCTTGACTGTGAAACAACAGGAAAGTCAGCCGCTCATCAGTTCGTGTGCAGATTCACAGCCTCTGCTCTCGAGGCTTATGAATGCACCATTTGTTGTTTGGCGCACAACTGTTAGATACAACTGGCCTTGCAGCCCACTCTGCCTGCGACCAGAGTACATCACTGTGTCTTTTTTTTTCCTTTTCTTTCCTTTTTTTTTTTTTTGCCTCTGCATAGACCAGATTTTTGCTTTAAATACCACCATTTTTTCCACACTAGTTTCTTTGACCCAGCTTACATTTTTTAAATGTAAATTTCAGAAATAAGGCTTAAATTGCTCTCACTGTTAGTATAGGGGTTCTGAATCAGTGCAAGTATTTTACTTTATTAAAGGAGGAGATTACTTTGGTGGCTTGGTTTTTGTATATGTGCTTTCTCTCTCTTTTTTTTTTTTTGCAATATCAAAGAAGCATGTGACTTTAAAATTTTATTTTAAACTGTGTTGAAGTCAGAAAGTTTGGTTTTTTCCCTAGATCATAGTCTCTCCTACGCTTTACACAAAATCTCTTTGTCATCAAGTACTGTCTTCAGTTTAGACTTTAAGGAAAGCTGGTAAAAGTGCAATGTGGTTTTCCAGAGTAATTGAATATATCATTATAAATGACTGTTTATCATTGCTTTCTCTTGTTGAAACCAGGTTCCATCCCCAAATGATACCAGTAATGTTAAAATTTTCACTTCTGTTTTGTTTCTCTCTTTTTGCATACATTCTTGGCAATTATGTATGTGTTATATATGCATACATTGGTATTATTCCTCCTTTGCATTTTATTTAATTGTATTTTGGTTGAAAGAAGGTGTTAGTGTATTTTTCTGCTGTACTTTACATATTCAACAACTGAACCAGATTGTTAGTTCTCATTGCTTTTAGGCCTTGCTCTGGCTAAGGAGACATGTTTCTGTTAAAATAGCAGTAAACATCCTACAGCAACCAACTTTACAAACCTTGGCATCCTGGAGCTTCCAAAAATGAAACAGCCATTTGCCGAAAACGCAGCAGCTTTCTGTGGCTGAATTTTACAGTAGATATTTAGGTTTCAAGGACTGTGTTCACTCATTGTCTTTCAAAGGGGATATGGATGCCCCGGGTTGCCCTTACCTTTTTGTTAAAATTGAGACATAAAGGTATGTATAAGGAAGAAAGTGTGATCGCTTATAAGATTCATGCTTTCTCACCATTCAGTTGGGGGAAAATCTGTCATTTTGTAAAGATTATCCCACTGCCTGAAGAATCCTTAAGGCTGCCAAAAGACTAAGCAACAAGTTAGGAGGACAGTGAGCCCAGGTTCCAGGGCTTCCGGGAGCAGTTCTCACCCGGGAGTCTGCTCTTAGCTTCCAGAACACCTTTCCTTGCCTAGCCCAGCGTTTTTATGCTTGGTTCATGCTTGGTTTTGATCTGCCTGTTTAAGCTGGGTAACTTCTCTGTGGGCTTTTTTCCCTACACCGTCCGTGCTTTCTTAACTGCCCTTCTCATGTGATTAATATGTGTGTTGCTCAAAATGGCAACTGAAACATCACCAGGTATTTTCACCAGGTAGAAACTGCTTTTCCTGTGTCAAAACAACCAGTGTGGCTTAGTTGATGCTTCTGTTGCTAAGCAGGTAAATTTCTGGTCTGCAGGCTGTCTGTTAACCCCGTAAGTGCCTAATGTCAGGCAGAAAACAAGAAGAAAAAACCAACTTTTGCTTCCTCCTGACACAGTGCAGTGTTCCAGCTGGTGAAAGCCGGGCCTCGCTCAGCCTCACCTGTACTTAGCTGTATTCGAGGACCCAACCTCGAATTCCTCCCAACCTCGAATTCCTCGTTTCCTAGGGGAGGAGAGGAGTCAGGCGATGGAGAGGGCTGGGAAGCTGGTGGAGAAGACGCCGGGGAGCTGGCAGGGAAGGTCTCCCGCTGCAGGATGCAAATTATGGGCTTGAGTCCAGTCGGGAATGGGTTTAGCCTTTCTCTCTGGGACTTTTCTCTGCGAGTCTGCCTTCCATTGCAGCCCGGCTGTGGGAAGAGAAGGAGAAAGGGCTGCTCTGTCTGTCCCTCTGCCAGAAAGGAGTTAACAGAGCACACCGCAGAACAGGTTGGGCGAGACTCTGAACCGGTGATGGAGCCTCCCCCTCTCTCCCTCTCCTTCCTCCTCTGCTCCCCGCTCCTCTCCCAGGACTTGGAGGCATCTTCACCCCATGCCCTGGCCCCCCCCCGCCCCCTCCCCACTGCACTGTCTGGCTTTCCCTCTCCCGGGCAGGACATTTGATGTGATGAAAATCCTCTGTGGCAACGAGGAGCCTGTGTGAGAGGCCTCGGCCTTGCCAGCTGTTTCTGGAGAAATCACCGTCTGTGCTGGTCGTCATGTAACATAGGCCCCATTCACCAGAGACATTCTTGAGTGTGCATTTATGCCTCTGTGGGACCATGGGGTGCGCAGCCTGCGATGGGGGGGGAGGTGGGCGGCAGGGAGAAGCGGCGGCGAGGGTCGTCCCCGCGCCCCCATCAGTGCCCGTGGGTCAGGAGGTGTTGCTTCCTGAAGCTCCCGCAGCTCATCAGCCTCAGGGATGCCCTGTGGCCGTCAGCTCAGGGGAGCCGAGCTCTTGAGAAGGCAGCTCTGGTCTGACATGGGTTCTGAGTGGTGTTTGTGTCGAACCCCTCCGTAAACATACCATATATAGTCACGCGGAGCCACTGTAACACACGCTGCAGGGGAGCCTCTCCCGACGCACCGCCCGGCGCCCAGAAGCAGGCTTGGGCTATTTCTGGGTTGTCGCCGTTTTCCTTTTTCTCCTTTGGAGGGAGGAGGCAGGAGGCGTCTCTCTTCTTTCTGATCCTCACCCTGTTTGAAGCGTGTTTTTGATGCTGGTGTGTCTGGCACGGTGAAAACTCAAGAAACTGTATTGTCACGTGAGGAGAGACGGGATTCTCTTTGTACATCTGTTTTAGAACAAAACCCTTGTTTTTCTTGGTATCCCTCACATGACACACGGTTTATGTTTCATGGTCCCTGGTCCTCCAGTGCTTGTTTCTGGAGCATCCTTTAACGCTGTGAGGGTGTCTACCCGCTCCCCCCCCTGCCACCCCGAGCACGTTACTGTCGTGGCCGGAGGAGAAGTTGCTCTCGTGTTTCCTCTGCATCCTCGCTGGGCCGTCCCCACGCGTTTACAACACCTCACCTTCACTCGGCGAGACCCGAGCGTCAGCTCTCTGCTGTGTGTGTGTGTGTGTGTGTGTGTGTGTGTGTGTGTGTGTGTGTGTGTGTGTGTGTGTGTGTGTGTGTGTGTTCAGCTCTCTGCTGTGTGTGTGTGTGTGTGTGTTCAGCTCTCTGCTCTGTGTGTGTGTGTGTGTGTGTGGTCAGCTCTCTGCTGTGTGTGTGTGTGTGTGGTCAGCTCTCTGCTGTGTGTGTGTGTGTGTGTGTGTGTGTGTGTGTGTAATCCCCCTGGAATACCTAGGCCACAGCACTTCAGCCTGTGGGAGGGAGGGAGCAGACGGTGGGAGGCTTTTGTGGTTCAGATCAGAGACTTCTTCCTCTTCCTTCTCTTCTTTTTTCTTCCTTCCTTCCCCCCTCCAAAGGCTGCTGCGTGTCTTCCCAGGCTGCGTGTATGGATATCCCTGGAAGAACAGGCGGTCTGCCACACGGGGACGTTTGGGTGTTCCGTAGAGACAAGATGGGCGCCCTCTGTGCCTTGTTTTCTTCCATGGGCCTCATCAGAGTGAACTGTATGTGACTGTGTGACAGTTAATTGTACCATCCTTCCCCTTTCTTAAGCTGATAAGCCCCTTTCTGTCTGTCTACATCAAGCCTCTTTGTTTGAGAACTTCCTAACATAGTAGAAGAACAAAGTGACAGTTTTCTTATTTACTGAAGTCTCTAAGGCACATTTATTATGCTGTTTATTGTATCTTTTTTTTATAACCTCATTCCTTTAACTTATATAATTGAAGTGTTCCAAGTAGTACAAAGTTAAAGCTTCCCTAAAAAATATCAGTGTGTCCAGGATAGAAAGAAAAAAAAAAAAATATTTTTTAGACTGTGTCTTTTCATTTCAAGCTCTTAACAGTGTTTGGTAGATAATGTTCAGAGTAAGACACTGGGTACTGCCAGAGTACCAATTACCAGTTATGGAAGCAGCAGTTGCTTAGCTAGTATTCGGTTGACTCAAAAGTAATATATCACTTATGTGCAGGTCACTTATTTGGCATTCTGAGGTCCAGAATCTTTAGCCTGTGCGGGGGGCGGGGTTGGGGGGGATATGCAAAATAAAGCTTGCGAGAAGCCAGGCAGGTTTAGGAAGTTTTAGTACTAAGACCCCTCCCCTTGATTCCTGATGGTCCTTTTAGACCCACACTTTATTTAGCACTGTTTATTCTCACTGTAGGTACAACCCTGACTACCTTGTCTCCGTTTTTCCAGTCAACAAGAAATCAGAGGCCAAATTGGTGGTTGGGGGTGGAAAATACCCATCAGAAGGAGAGGTTCCTAGAGCCACGAGAGAAAGGCTCTCAGGAGATGAGATGGGCGCACTCACGCAGCACAGCTGGTCCCCACTGGGGGAGCTCGGGCAAAGTGAACAGAGGCACCTCCTGTGTTGTTCCTGCCTGTGTACCCACACACTCTCAGCAAGTTTCAGTCAAAAAGACAGAACGCGTGGCCGACGGAGGCCCCGGATTGTGTAGGAGCAGGCCTGAAGGAGGAAGGCCGTGGCGTGGTTTCCACAGGCGCCTTGTAATGGTTGTTCATTGTAGTGCTCCTGAGTCATCACCCAAAAAGGCTGGATTAATCATACATTTATTCACCGCGCTGTGCTTAAGGGGATGAGGAAGTTTGAAAGATACTTTAGAGAGATTTACACCCAGGACTTTTATGTGGAAAATGAACTTCTCGATACTTTTCCCCGCTTAACCTCCACAATTCTCCTCAGTGATACGCAGCTGCTTTATGAGCTAACGTGCAGTGTTCGAACCCAGTGGGTTCACGTATATACTAAAATATTACTTGTTTTGACCAAATTTGCAGGGAGAAAAAAAGTGATGCTTTAACAGATTCCAATGATGTTCAGATACTTTTATGAGGGTTGCTTTTCTGTATTCCTAATGTGAATTGTTCTTTCTGATTTTTAATTGAAATATTAATACACAGAATGTCATGGAGTTTTTAAAGCAGGGACTAGAGAAGGCCCTCCATCTGCTGGCCACCATAGATGTCATAGTTACCCTGGGAGGTGGAGTCTCTGTGGAGAAGGAGTTCCGAGTGTAAAGGAAGCCTCAGAAAACTTAAATAGTGTAAAAAAAAAAAAAATTTAAGTGTAAGTCATCAAAGGACAAATGGAAGGAAGGAGTGTTTTTCCCCCCTCATCCCAACTCTAGGCTCTTTCCAAGAACCATAGGACTTAAGAGTTGGAAGGTCACTTTAGAGGTCACTTGGCTTGTTTTTAGAAGTTTGCCTTTATTTCACGCAGTATTCTTTCACAATTCACGTCTGTGCCCATGTCATTGGGGGTAGCGTCTGCGTGGTTTCTTCGGCGGGAGGACTAATCCTAACTTGAAAAATTAGATGTGCTCACTGGGCAGAAATGACTGTAATATTTTTTTAGGTTTTTTGTTAATTTTATTCTCAGCAGCTCCATTTTACAGATGGAGACCCCTGTGGCACTCTGTGGTGATACACCAAAAATCTCTTGGCATCATTAAGTATTTGCAGATATTTTCATGGAAATCCCAGAGTAGAAAACTCTCCAAGGTAACTCATACCTCCTAGTAGTTCCTAGCATTTTGATTTTATCTGCTTAAGTATAGAGCATTGCTGAGCCTGAACTTTAATAATCATACTCATAGATGTATTTTAAATACATATTAGCTTCTAACAGTATTAAATTTATGTCTTTTGTGCACTTGGTTTTGCTTTTTTTTTTTTTAAACCAAGAGAAATTGTTGCTTTTAGAAATGTGATTAGTTTTGAAATTTGGTCTGGGTATCCATGGGAACTGTACCTCCTGGTTGCCATGCCAAAGGTAGAAAGCATTCTCTTAGAGTTGGATGTTTGTGACTCTGTCAGGGAAGGAAAATGTATATGAATTGCATGTAAGAAATAAGAATTAGGTCTCTGGATGTTAGACACTCGCAGCAAATGGAAAAGCAGTAAAACCCAGTACTTGCCCGGGAGCAAGGAGCGGGTCTCAGGCTGGCCTTTGGGGTGTAGACTGCGCAGAGAGGGCTGGGGGAGGGAGGGGCGTGGCGGGCGTGGGAGGGCTTGGTCTCCTTCTCTGCGATGGCCTGTGCAGGCCTGCAGCTCCTCGCGCTGGCTCAGTTGAGATGGTGTCTGCACGGCATCCAGTGCAGGCAGGCCAGCTCCAGGATACCTGTTGAGAGATTGGGATGGTGGGGCTGGAGGAGCAGAGAGGCAGCATCCAGACGTGGGTTCGAGCAGCTGCTGGCTACCAGGAGCTCAGCCTGTGTGCGTCACAGAGGCCTCACCTGTGGGCCTGCAGGCTGCTGTGGGGTGGAAGGGCGCCATCCATTTATACTCTGATGTCCCCAGAGCACTCTAGAGACATGACAGAAATCGTGGGTCCGTTCTCAGCAGCTCAGTCCATCATGTTTAGTGTTTCCACGCTTCCCCTCCTCATGTAATTCTAATGTTTTATTGAAAGTGAGTGCTGTGGGTCTGCCTTAAAAACCACCTGAAATGGCTTTTCCTGGACATCATGTTGTTTATAAAGGGGTACTTGAGACCCAAAGAGAAGAGTTGGGTCAGTGGAGTTAAGGTTGTTGGAGGATTGAAGCGTTACTGATGGCTGGTCTTATCCAGGATTTTGAGATTTCAAGGAAAAGTGGACAATGCCTGCTTGTGTCCGAGGGATTCGGGCTGTCATATGATCTGCAGACCAGCCCCCAAGTCGCCTTGTGGGCAGCCGGGGCGTCCACGGAGACAGCAAGCTGTGGAGCGTGTGGGATGGGCTGGCTTGGGAGTCGCAGAGCCCAGAACTGGTTTTGGTCGTAGCCTCAGGTCTGCGTAAAAGTTGCACCTCACAGGGAAGTGGTATCTGTATGGCCTGAGATTTACTACTCGGGCGCAAGTTGGAGGAGGCAGCTGCAGTGACCTCGAGGGCAGCAGCCCCACCGGGGAGCACACCACTAGTCCAGCGCGGGGCTGCCAGGGGAGAGCCGTCCTATGAAGGACCAGGACATGTGGACAGTGGGGAGGAAGGACTAGGCCACGCAGATCTCTTCGGGTATAAGAAGTGGGAAGGGGCTTTGGGCTGTATAAAGCATCATGTTTATAAGCCGCTGGCCCTTGACTTACAGACTGATTCTCAATAGGAACAGGATTATGGAAGAAATAAACTGAACAAATTAGACTGCAAAATCACATGAGATTGCTTTTCTCTGGCTTTCATTTTCTGAACGTGAATGTTCCTAGTATGCGTCTCTTGCAGTTGTACGCACAGTGATTCTGACATGCAGATGCATCATGAACCAGCCACGATGCGCACTGTCAGCTCACTTGCTGAATAAGAGGAGCTTTCAGGGGCCTTGCGGGAGGGTCCTGGCAGGATGGATGCGCTGCTGAATGTCTTTAGTTCCGTGATTACTGATAGATCCACCGATTGTCTGATTGCACAGTATTCCTATTATCCTGTACCCTAAGAGAAGGTTCCCCAGGGTTCTTAGCTCCTTGATGAAAAGCGGAGGAGTAAACCCTGTTTTCAGGGTCACATGGAGACTTCATTGTTCTGCCTGGTGTCTTCAAGGTAGATGTGAGATTTTTAAAGAAAAAAGAAATGTTTCCATTTCCAGATTTTCTTCTTTTTTTTTTTATTTTTTCTTTTCTTTTTTTTTAAAGGTGACTTTTTCATGTCTCTTGTAAGAAGTGAAAAAAAAAATCTACTCACCAGTAAAATCCAGCAGTTGCTGAATAGCTATAAAACATATTAGAGAAATTAGTGTTGGGCCTTCTTATTATTTTTAGCTCTAATTTTACAGCTGAGTTATAATAGGTGAGCAAATGCATTGTATAAGTGTTTGCCGTTTTTTTTTCCTTTTTGGCCACGTGGAAGTACCTCAAGAGGTGGAATGTGACACACCCAGAGCATGAGGCGCTCAAGGGCCTCGGGACTTGAAAAGGCCAGAGCAGCGGGTCTGTTCATCTCCGCTCAGCTCTGCTGGTGCTCGTGGGGGAGCAGAGCACCCCCCACCCCCCGAGGAGCTGAGTTTTTAAATGTGTGTGTGTGTGTGTGTGTGTGTGTGTGTGTGTGTGTGTGTTCAAGGGGCTTGTTCTCCTGCTAGGGAGAATTCCAGCAAGAAAGCCTCCCACCTCTGAGGTACGTCATAGATCCCACTCAGCTGAAGTCCTCCTCAGAGAGCCCTCCAGAGAAGTGTTATTTGCTTCACAGACCAGAAGGACCTGTATGTGGTTCTAGCACATATTTTAAAATTCTCTCTCCCAAATTTATTCAATTTTGTGTATTTCATAAATTTTCTAGTTTAAGTTGCTGGGTTGTTGTAGATTACATTTTGTTTTGGCCATGCGGTTCTTGGAGGTGGGGGATTTATTGTTTTGTTCCACATAAAATGGAAGGTAGTATACTGTGGACAGCTCAACCTGGATGTCAAGTTGCAGATTTTTCTAGGTTAACTGGAAATTATTATTATTTTAAAGAGCAGTTTTGTGGTTCAGTGGTGATGCTTTTACCTTAAAGAGATTACTTTTTCCTGTTTGGGCAAAATATGATATCAGTTTGCTCATGGTTTAATATATTAAAACCCTTTCCTTCTGGCCTGCCTTATAGAGTCCAGGGATTCTGGTTGGTGTGTGTGTGTGTATGTGCACACACGTGCACACTTACACCATTTCATGACCTGAGTCCTTCAGTGTGTTTGTTTTTCACAATGCTTCTTAGTGTATTTAGATTGTTCTAAATTGTTGGTAACTGTTACATAATCATACTGCAGTGAAGAAGTTTTATATCTGGTGAAAAAACAGACCCCAAAATGGGACGTTGGAAAAAAAACAAAACAAAACTCATTTGATGAAGTGAATGACAGTAGAAATCCTAGCTAACCAGCTTATTTACAAGATACATCACATCTGTGTTTGATAGAATGGACTTAAGGCTGGTGTAAAGATCCTTTTTATAACGGTGATAGGAATTGTTTCAGTGGGCTTAAGCTGAAGCTAGCAAACAAACTTTAAAATCTCAGTGGCTCAGTGCATAAGACGTCATTGCTTTTCATATGAAGTCTGTTGCAGGCCAGCATCTCTCTCGAGTAGCTCCCTTCCAGGCAGTGACCCAGGATCCTGCAACCCCCACCCCCCGCCTCTGTGTGTGCTCCCGGGCCGCCACTAAGGAGAGAGCCAGGAGGCCACGCAGGTGCTTTTAAAAGCTTCAGCCTGGAAGTGATGTGGATCATCTTTGCTCTCAGCCCATTGGCCAGAACTTGTCATCTGCCGCATGTGAAGGTGCAGAGGTGCTGGGCAGTGTGGAAGAACCTTTGGGCCTTCTCCACACAGTAAACCGCTTTGCCACTCTCCTTAACGTTATCTCATCCAGGCTCACTGCGCAGATAAATAAACCAGATTAAGGCTTAGGCCTGAAGCATAAAACACAGGGAGTCAAGTGGTCCACAGAGCCATGGTCCTCAAAAGTGTGAAGCTCAGAGCAGCAGCATCACCTGGGAGCTTGTTGGATACACACACAGATTGTTAGGCCCCACCCCAGACCTTCCAGTGAGAAACTGTAGGTGGGGCCCAGATCTGTTCCAGTGTGTACTCTGGAAGCATGTTAAAGTTTGTGAAGCATGGCCCTGGGTGAACGGAATGTCTTTGGGGCCTGTTGGACTGCTACGTAGCAAATCAGCGCTGAAGTCCTGGTGCTCATGTGGGAATTGGTGCTCTCCTCCACAGATTGTGTGTGTGATTTTTTTTTTTTTTTTTGGTCCACACCGTGCATCATGCAGGATCTTAGTTCCCTGACCAGGGATTGAACCCATGCCCCATGCATTGGGAGCACAGAGTCTTTTAACCACTGAACCACTAGGGAAGACTTCAGACTGTTTAAGCATTTTCCCGAGGTAACTCCTCTGTCTCATAGCCGCCACACGAAATAGGTGTTACCATCGTCTTGAGAAAACAGAGGCTGATCGAGGTTCTGCAGCTGAGGGTGGTTCCGCCACAGCAGGCAAGTGGAAGAGGCCGGATTTGAACCAGGGCAGTGTGGTTCCCAAGTCCACTCCTTAGCCAGCACCCGTGCCATTCTGCTTGCTGGCCACCCTGCGGTTGTTCTGTCACTGTCTCTTCAATGGAGACGGGCTGGTGGCACGAGCAGGAAGTGTGGTGTGTTGGTGACAGTTCACACTGCGCCAAGCCCCTCGCCACAGCTTCATTCGTTGGTGGTTTGTGTTGCCGACAGGCTGGCCGGGGCTGGGGGTGCACAGCCAGGAGCAGCGGCCCCTGGACATTTAAGTCTGGATGGCCTGCAGCCTGGGGCTCTTAGGGGCAGAGCCAAGTGGCTGGGGGGAGACGTTTGCCCAGACTGAGGCAGCGCCATCTCCAGGGGACGTGCTCTTCAGTCCGCCTGTGTCAGCTCCGGGCTGGGATGGAGCCCTGTCCCCAGCGCCTTCCGTCCTGATGGGGCTCATTTTCCATCATCATCTTGCCCTCTCTGAGATGCTCACCTAGGGCCTGACTCCATGAGGTGGTCTGAAGACGCTGTCTGAGTTTACATAGGGAAGTGTGTTTTTTTCCTTCCAAGAAAATGGATAAATGGGTTCTCTTTCCACTTGGGAAATTCAGGTCAAGTTAGATGCAATCCAGTCTTTTGAATTTTGACCCAATCGAAACAGATTTTCCAAATGGCGTTTAGAAACAGCTTTTCAGGCGGTTCCGTTTCCTTGCATCCTTTTCAAATTTTTAATGATTAACTGCATTTTCTTTCTTCCTGGTGGGTCTGTTGTGTGTTGTTGCTGAGGTGTGCCCTGCCAGCCCCTGCTTTCCTTTCCCTTCTTGTCTCTGGGGCTCAGCAGCCTAAAACTGAGCTGACTCCTGCCCGGGATGGGATCAGCTTTGGCCGTAGGTAGAGGATAAAGATAGCATCACCCCTTTCGGTTTCCATGTTGGCTGAGAACAGCTGCAGCGCTTCGTATAGCTCTGAACTTAACATCTCATTCCAGAGTCACTGAAGATTTTAGTTTTCTGCAAGCCAGGGCTTAACCACGGGGTTTTCACATTCAGACTCAGAGTCTCGAGTTTTCCTGTGAGAAACAGTTGCTTGTTTAGTTGAGTAATTTAAGAGAACAGAGATGATGGCGGGGGAAGGAGGAGACCATTTGTGTGTTTCTCCAGAGACCCAGGTCCTTCCTCTCCTTCTTCACTTTCAGCAGTTTTAATTTGTTGAGGTGCTCTAGCAGAGGTGTAGATAATTGAAGTTAATCTTGAGTCAGGTCTAAACAAAAGGAGAGAGAACTGACCTGAAAAGGAGCAACTGAAGTCACACTGATTGAGTCACCAGGCCCTGCATGCAGATCTGCTGGGACCGGCTGACCTCAGGATGCGGTGCCCATGCTCAGGCTGGGCCGCATTCCTCTCAGGAATGGCTGACTCCTGGGTCCCCAGTGGTTTCCGGCTGCATTTCACACCGAGGTGCATCTGGGTGAGAGTTGCAGAGTTCAGCCCTGGTGAAAAAAAAAAAATCATGACACCCATTTGGAGTGGGTTGGGCGTCTGGGGGTTTTTCTCTCCCCTCACAGACCTGGTGCCCTTGCTGTTTGTAGATAGCATACACTTGTTTACTGGTGAGGGGAGCAGCTACTTGTGCGAATTGGGCACCTGCTGGAAGAAACGTAACAGGCTTGACGCAAATAGCAGGAATAAAAGATGCAGCCATTTGAAATTTTCTCTCTTCCCCTTAGCCAGCTATCCAGAGTCGGAAACAGAATGCTGGACTCACCCTGAGTAGGAGGAGCGGGCTCCAGAGGGCACCCAGCCCCTCTCCTGGGCCCATTCTTGTGGTCACGTGGTTGTAAAGACCTAAGCTAAGCACCCCCAGCCCCCCCCAGCCCTGTTCAGCCACTGTACTCCCTCTTGCCACCTCTCTGGGGTCCTTGCTCCTAAAGCTACCAGTTCCCCTTTTCTCTTCCTCCTCCTTGCAAGCATATGGCCTGCTGCCTGTTTTCTTGAGGTTACTAATCCGCAGAGTGTCTGAGTGCCGCTTCGTGCTCAAGGTTAGGACCCTTCACCTCTGTGCCTCCTTCAACTCCCCTGATCTCTCTCCCGGGGGGGGGGCGGGGGGGGGCAGGGGGGATTCCACGCCCTGTGGTTGCCGACACTTCCACACTCGTTCTCCCTCCTGGGGACCTCATTCCTCCCAGCCCTGGTTCTGTTCCGTGTCTGTGGCTCAGAATGGCTGTTCTTCATGCCCCATCCTGTACCTTCTCGTCTCTGAATCTCAGCTCAGCCGGCTCAGGCCTCCCTCCTCTGTGGAGGGGAGATCACACCTGCACTCCGGAGCCCTGATTTCTCACCCTGGTACCAAGACCCTCCCTTCTCACCCACTCCATTTCTTCACTTGCCAAGTGTCTAAAAAATAGTTGAGCCCAACCCCCTTAACAGTTGAGAACTTCTTCCAGGAAGTTTGAGCCTGTGGCCAGACTGACTTCCTGCTCAGCTCCCTCTGCGGGCAGCCTGATCCAGGCGGCCTCCAGGTCTCTGCAGTTCTTTGAAAGGCATTCAGGTTTATCTTTCCCTCTCTGTTCCCTTTGTTCCCATTTCCAGTCTGGTCTCCCTCCCCTGCGGTCCCATACCGTGTTCAAACAGGTTTCTTTAAAACTCTGACCTCATCATCTCGTGCACGCCCGAGCCCCGAGCCCACACCCACTGCTGCCCTGGCCTGGCGCCCCCAGCCCCCTGTGTAGGCAGGACCCGGCTCCCCGCCTCCTCGTGGTCCTTTCTGGGTATCAGCTCCCCCATCCTCTCTGCCACCTTGGACACTCCTCCGCTTAGACGAGCCAGTGGTTTTTCTGGACTTAGAAAGAGTGTTGCATAGGCAGCTCTGAGTTCTCTTACCTTCTCAGAGCCCCTTCCTTGTTCTGCTCATCCAGGTGCTAAGCTCCGGAGCGCCTCTTCTCCCCTCCCCCTGCTGTCCCCCCACCTGCCCTCCCCAGTCTCATAGCAGATGGATGGTTACTAATTGAGGGAACAATCATCAGGAAATATTTATGGGCCTTAAGTGGAGTATTTTTCCCCGCCACCTTTTGAAGGGAGATTGCACGTCTCATTTGTTTATTTTTACAGACAGGTTTTTTTTTTTAACCTATGACAGCTTGAAGGTCAGGAAAAAATTGGTTAGTTTTCACCTTCAGAGGAGACATAAGAAAACAAGGACCAAGCCAACACCCCCCCCCCCCCCCCCCCCCGCCCAATCACACTCACCATGGTCCCTTTCCCCTGGCTGTGACTCTCAAAGTTTACAGCGGATATAATCCTCCCTTTTATAGCCAATTTATTTTACTTATGCATTGCAATTGACGCAAGGACTACATAGAGGGAATCAGTTTTAATTCTTGGTTCCTATTTAAAAGGCTCACTAACGCCCCCATTACCTTTTGTTAATTGCAAAACAAACATCCTCCAGAAGACCATTCTCTATTCTGGGACTCAACTTTGAGATTCCCAGGAATTGTTAGTACTTAGGTCACACTTACACCTATACATGGATCTTAGAACAAACCTCCTCAGTGCCTTCGATGGCCTAGAGTTGGTGATAATAGGCACTGTTTTAACCTAATGGCATCAGGAAACTAACTTGGTTCCATCGGTTATTTCTGGAATTGCAGAAACAGAACAAAAGCATGTAAACACAGTGATACAGACAGGGCTCACAAAGACCTCTCTCCCACCTAAAATTTAACTGTTCATAGCAACCATTAGGAGCATGTTGGGGGAATTGATGTCACTAACGTTTACTGAGTTGTTGTCATGTATCAGACACTATTTGAAATGAATTGCATGGTTAATCTCATCTTCAGAGGAAAAAGGAAGGTTTGAAAATCTGGTCAAATTTATGGACTCTTCCCCGTGCTGGCCCCAAATGATACCACATCAATTTTACATAGTTTCAAGGGTATGAGTCTTGCACTTGCCTGTAGAACGCGGCTCATCCACCTGAGCACATCACCCCTACTAGGTGGCCCATAATAGGCCTAGATTTTGAGGATGAACTAAACAAAAGCCTACTGTGTGCTGGGCCCTGGGCTTCAACTAAAGATTTGTCGGAAGGGAGAAAGAGAGAACAGTTTCACATCTTAAAAAGAATGCAGTTGGATTTTTTTCTTTCTTGTATCTTAAAAAAACAACTTTATAAAAATCAAATTTACTGTGACATTAAATTATACTTTTATTTATTTTACTTTTATTTTTAAAGAATCACTCTAGTCCCATGATACCGTCTCATTTCAGATTGTCTCTTCCAGGCTTTATCTGTGAATGTAACATAGAATGCCTGAATATCCTAGGTTGCTTTTTAACCTTGCTCTAACTTAGAAACATTTCCCCATGTTTTCACACATTGACCTTCACATGTGAGGTGGGACCAGGCCTGAGCAGGTTTTGGGTAGATGGGGCAGGGAGCTGGTGACTCACCTAGAAGAAGTCCGCCTGGCTTAGGAGATGTCCTCTTGTTGGTTTCATGGGTTATTTCCCTTAGTACATTGAAGCTCTGATAAACCCTGGGGAGAATGAAGAATCATAGTAAAAAAGTTACTTCTGGGGTCAGCTCACTGCCGTCCCGTGCCTGACAGTTAAAACCATACATGATGGTCTTTATTCTACTTTAGGGCTTGAGAGGGCCTCCCTGGTGGCTCAGATGGTAAGGAATCCACCTGTGATCCAATGCAAGAGACCCAGGAAGATCCCCTGGAGAAGGGAATGGCAACCCACTCCACTGTTGCCTGGAGAATCCCATGGACAGAGGAACCTGGCAGGCTACAGTCCATGGGGTTGCAAAGAGTCCGACATGACTGAGAGATTTCACTTAGGGCTTGAAAACTCTGAGAAGCAGATGAATTAAGGACTCCAATCTAGTAGCTCAAGCTTA